CCTCTGCCAGGCAGGGTCCCCTCCCAGCTCTCCCCGGGACTCCTTCTGTCTATCGGCTCAAGAGCCTCTCTTCAGGCAAGCCTGCCTGGCTCCTCCCTCAGCTTGGAGAGCCCCCCTGGACCCCGGGTCCCTCTGTCACATCTTCCTGTTCAAGCAACTTATAGCAATTACTATTTTCTGAAGTTACTTGATCTTTTTCCTACTTATTTTTTATTTTCTTTTTATTTCGATAGAACCCATAAACCATAAAAACATTCAACCTTTTAAAGTATATAATTCAGTGGGTTTTTTAAAGAAGATTTAAAAAAATTTATTTTTAGAGACAGGGACAGGGAAAAAAGAGAGGGAGAGAAACACGTGAGAGATAAATATCGATCAGTTGCCTCTCATACTTGCCCCAACTGGGGACCAAGCCAGCAGCCCAGGCGTGTGTCCTGACTGGGGATTTGAACCAGCAACCTTTCACTTTCTTGGATGATGCCCAACCCACTCAGTCACACTGGTTAGAGCTCCAGTGGTTTTTAATATACTCACGAAGTTATGCAACCGTTATCATTATCTTATTCCAGGGTATTTTCATGACCCTAAGGAGAAACCCTGGGCCCATTTATAGTCAGTCTCCATTTTCCCCCTCTCCATAGGCCCTGCAAACCACTACTCTACTCTCTGCTTCTATGGATGTGCCTATGTTGGACAGGTCATGCAAATGGAATCATACAACATGTGGTCTTTTATGTCCGGCTTATCAGTTGACGTCCATCAATACATAGATATTTGCATTGCTTCTATTTTGTGCTGTCATGAACAGTGTTGCTATGAACAAACACTCATATACACATTTTTGTGAGGACATGTTTCATTTCCTTGGGCATATATGTAGGAGTAGAATTGCAGGGTTATGCGTGAACTTTAAAAAAATTTTATTGATTGATTTTAGAGAGAGAGAAGAAGGAGGGGGAGAGGAAGAGGAAGAGGAAGAGGGAAGCATGGATCTGTTGTTCCATTTATTTATGCATTTGTTGGTTGTTTCCTGTATGTGCCCTGACTGGGGATCAAACCCACAATCCTCACGCATCTGGGACAGTGCTCCAACCAACTGAGCTTCCTGGCCAGGGCATATGTGAATTTTTTGAGGAACTTTTTAAGGAGTGTTACCAGAGTGACTGCAACATTTTATATCCCACCAGCAATGTCTGAGGGTTTTAATTTCTTCACATCTTCACCAACACGTTATTTGCCTTCTTGAGTATAGTCATCCTGGTGGGTATGAAATGGTATCTCATTATGGGTTTCATTTGCATTTCCCTTATAATAATAATGTTGAACACCTTTTCTTGTGTTTATCTGCCAGTTATGTATCTTCTCTGGAGAAATGTCAATTCAGATTTGTTGCGCATTTTACAAATTGAGCAATTTGGGTTTTGTTGTTGTTGTTGAGTTATAAAGGTTCTTCATGTATTCTGGATACAAGTCCTTTACCAGATAAAAGATTTACAAATATTTGCTCTGGCTGGTGTGGCTCAGTGGATTGAGTGCCGGCCTGTGAACCAGAAGGTCACCAGTTTGATTCTCAGTCAGGGCACATGCCTGGGTTGCAGGGCTGGGTCCCCAGGTGGGGGCGTGTGAGAAGCAACCAATCGATGCACCTCGTACACATTGATGTTTCTCTCCCTTTTTTTCTCCCTCTGTTCCCCTCTCTCTAAAAGTAAATAAATAAAATATTTTTTCAATAAAGATTGACAAATATTTCCTCCCATTTTGTGGGTTGGATTGTCTCCTCACTTTTTGTTTTAGCTTTTAATTAATTAATTATTTATTTATTTAGAGGAGAAGGGAGGGACAAAAAGAGGGAGAGAAACACTGATGTGCAAGAGATATAGCGGTCAGTTGCCTCTCGCACATCCCCAACTGGAGACCCAGGCCCGAAACGCAGGCAGTGCCCTGACGAGGAATCAATTGGCGACCTTTCAGTTATCAGGCCTGTGCTCAGTCCACTGAGCCACACCAGCCAAGACCGCTTTCTTGATGGTATCCTTTGAAATTCAAAATATTTTTTTGAAAAGATTTTATTTATTTATTTTTAGAGAGAGGGAGGGAGAAAGAGAAGGTGAGAAACATCCGTGTGTGGTTGCCTTTTGCATGCCCCCTACTGGAGACCTGACTTGCAACCCGGGCATGTGCCCTGACCGGGAATCGAACCAGGACCCGTTGATTTTCAGGTCGGCACTCAATCCACTGAGCCACACCAGCCAGGGCCAAAAGTTTTAATGTAGATGAAGTCCAATTTATCTATTTTTTTCTTTTGTTGCTATGCTTTTGGTAATATCTAAGAAACCATTACTTAATCTCAGGTCATGAAAATTCACTCCTGTATTTTCTCCTAAGAATTTTCATAGTTTTAGCTCTTACATTTAGGACTTTGATTCATTTTGACTTAATTTATGTGTGGGGTAGAAGTTCAACTTCATTCTTAAGCGTGTGGATATCCAGTAGTCCCAGCACCATTTGTTTGAAAAGATTCTTTCCCCATTGAATGGTCTTGGCACTCTTGTCAAAAAATCAATTAATGATAGAGATATGGTTTTAAAATTTTTATTTATTATATTAGAGAGATAGAGGCAGGGAAGGGGGGGGAATGAATTGTCAATGTGTTGATTTGTTTATTCATTTGTTCATTCTTGTATGTGTCCTGACTGGGGATTGAACTCACAACTTTGGTGTGTATCTGGAGGACACCCTAATCAACTGAGCTACCTAGCCAGGGCTGGATTTATTTTATAATCCTTGACCTATTCCCACAACTGTCAATCTTTTTCACCTCATGGAACACATAAACTAATTACTAAAATTCTGTGGCACACCAAAAAATACATTTTTTGCCAATGTGCAAGAAATGGGTATAATTTTGTTTTTTTATTATATTTTTTCCATTACCATTTAGTCTCCTTCTACCTCCCCCCACAACAGTCACTACAGTGTTGTCCCTGTCCATGTGTCCTTTTTCCTTTTCGCTCCATCCCTCCACCCCTCGGCTCCCCCGCCAGCTACCTGCCATCCTGCTCTCCGTCTGAGTCTGTACCCGTTTTCTTTGTTAGTTCAGTTTGTTCATTAAATTCCACATGTGAGTGAAATCATAGGGTATTTGTCTTTATGTGACTTAGCATAATGTTCTCCAGGTCCATCCATACTGCTGCAAAGGGTAAAATGTTCTCCTTTTTTATAAATGAGTAATATTCCATTGTGTATTTAGGCATAATTTTGATTCATTCATAGTGGACCACTATTGTAATGTTACTTGTCATTTTTTTAATTTGACAATCTAAGGGAAAAAGGGTCAGTGCCCCTGACTAAATAGGCAGGTATTGCATATTTTAGAAATCCTTGCTGCACACAGGTTGAAAATCACTGGTTTAGTCCTTCAATCAATAGACCCGTCTTTATGCCAGTACTACAGTCTTAATTGCCTGGTTTTATTTGTCTCCAACCCCACCTTTCTCACGGTCTAGAATGGAAGTACCAAAGGACCAGGACCTGTTCACTGCTGTGTTCCCAATGCCTAGAACAAGGCCTGGCGCAAGTAGATGATTGGTGAATACTTGTGGATTGAACGAATAAATTCTTGAATGAGTACAGCGCTGTTGGGAGGAAGCCAGTTGAAAGGGGAGGCTTGAAGATATAGGACCAAGAGGCCACCGAGGTCAAGTGTGTGTGAATGGGGTCATGGTGTCATGGCATCATGGGCCGGGGTGTGTGGGGCGGGGGGGCAGAGGAGAAACCCTTCATCCTCTGAGACAGTGTAGGCCTCAGCTCTGCTTTAGGTGGGAAGGGAAGGAAGGTGACGGCGGTCCCACCCAGTGCCTCTGTTTCCTTACAGAGGAGGGAACTGGGAGGGAGGGGAGGAGCAGCAGGCTCGAGGAAGCCAGGGACAGCTGAGCGACCGTAGGGCCTCAGTCCGGGGTTCAGCCTAACTGGTGGGCACCCTCCACTCATGATTGGATCCCCTCTAGGGTTCGTGGGACAAGGGCTATCAGACGAAGGCCCAAGGGGTCCAGCTGGAGCGGGTACGTGTAAGTCATGGCCGGGGAGCCCAGGCTGCCAGCGCAGGTTCCCTGACCACAGGCAATGTTCCCGAGCCCTCAGCGCCCTTAGTGCCAGCCAGGGCACTCACAGCACAGTGTAGAGTGCTGAGGAGAGGTCAGGCAGGGCCCCCTCCTGCAGGGGACTTCTCAAGGCTGGCATGACCCTGTGGCAGCTCACTTGGCCAACACAGTTGGGGTCGAGGGGTAAGGAGGCCAGCTCGGAGACACAAACAAGGCCCGGCTGAGTGAACACACAGGCCTGCCCCCTCAATGGGCTTGGCTAGTATCTGAACTTGATGTCTACACATTTTTGTTTGTAGATTTCTAATATTCTGGAGCTTTCAGGGAGTCTTGAAAGATACCCCTGGAGGATATAAAGAGCATATAAAGGGGCCAAGTAGTTGAATATGGCTAAAAGAGGGAGAAGAAAATGTCCAGAAGTCAATAGAAGCAGACTATGAGGGCCTTCGCGGCACTGGGGTTTAATCCTGCTGGCGTGATCAGATATTGAATTGAGCAAGATGGCCCTGCAACTATGTGGAGGCTGAGAGGGGAAGCAGAGAGAACTGGGAGGGTGCCGAGGCCGGGAAGAAGGGGAAGCTGTGGCTTGGGCCAGCGAAGTGGCAGAGAAATGGGGATAAAGGACGGACTAAGAAGGGTTTCAGGAGGTAGAACGGACAGGCCCTGGAGGCTGGCTGGGAGCATGAGGGAGCACGAAGGTCGAGGTGGGCTCCAGATTTCCAGCTCAGGTGAGGTGGCCGGAGGGATGGAGGCAGCGACCAATGAGATGGGGAGACAGAAGGAATGCCAGCTGGGGTGGGAGTAGGAAATAAGTTCGGTTTATTTTTTTAAGATCTTATTGTGACATGTTTTAAACATACAGAAAGAGAAAAAAGAAAAATATAACCAATACCACCTAGATTCAATATATGTTAACACTCTGCCATATTTAATATCTTTTTTTCTAAACCATTTCAAAGTGAGATTAGACATTCTGATACTCCGCACCTAAACACTTAATGCACGTCCCCAAAACATGAGGACAATCTCTTACATAATCACAATACCACCCAATTATAATTCTCTAATATTTAATGTTCTTTCCACAATCAAATTTCCCCAAAATGTCTTCAGGATTTTTTTCCCTCTGAATTATAATCTAATCAATGATTATATATTATATTGGTCCTTGTATCTCCTTCGTATCTTAGAATGTTCCCACCTCATGTTCTCCATGACTTTTGACTTTTGAAGGGACCAAGCCAGTTATCCTGAGGAGGTCCCATGTTCTGCCATTGGCTGATGGCTTCCTCCTGGTGATGTTTAACCTGTTCTTCTGCCCCTGCATTTCCTGTAAACTGGACATTAAGTCAGAGTCTTGATTAGATTTGTGTGAACACTTTTCGCAAGAATGCTTTGAAGTAAGGGAGATGCTGGTGTTCTGGCATGTTAGGTTCAGAGACTCTGAAGGTCATCAGGGGCTGACGTCACCTCAGTAGTTGAACAGATGAGTTTCTGTGGTTGGAAGACGTGCAGGAGGAATCAGGTGAGAGCGCCTCCAGAGTTATCACAGGGGAGATGGGGCCTCAAGTCAGGAAATCTGCGGAGACCCCCCAGAGGGTTTCCAGAGGAGTCCCTGATAAGACAGGACCAGTAAGATCACCACTTGTCTGACAGTCAACAAAAGCCCTGCCATGGCCCACCTCCACTCCTACTCCCACCCCTGAAAAAGAAATCCTGGGCCCTTGCCAGGAGAGTCAGTTGACGTGTCCAGAGTTGATAGTAGGCCCCCCAGAAAGAGTTGTAGTGACCTTGAATGATAGGGCATCTCCCAAATCAAAATTGGAAGCACAGGGCTAGAATTGCCAATGGGAGGATGGAAGTGATTTCAGAAAGCCTAATGACTCTTATTAATGAGCCCAAGGCAAAGGATGAGACCAGAAATGAAGAGATGGGGGTGGGGTGGGGCTCAACGAGGCCGCCTCTCCAGCTCTGCCCAGGGAGCCCTGGCGCAGTGTGGGGCCCTGGATCTCCAGGCTGGGCAGCGACTGAAGTGAAACCATAGAAGAGAGTGGCCCCTGCTGCCTTCAGTATCACAAGCCTGTGGCAAAGGGGGTCAGAAACACCCTCAGAACATCCAGTCACATGCTCCCCTGCGCTGACACCAGCTCCTCACTGTGGATTAGGACACCTTGCAAGACCTGGTCCTGCCTGCAAGTCCAGGCTCATCGTCTACCCTGTTCCCCTCCCTCTCCACACTTCAGCCTCGCCAGCCTCTTTTGGCTTCTAGATGCAGAAGCCCTTGCCCTGTTACTGCTAGCCCTCTTCAGAGTCCTGGGCACCAGCTGCCTCTGCGCTGCCTCTGCTGCTGAGGCGAGCACACTGTGAAACATTGTGAAGTGATCAGCACAGACTCTCACCAAGGCCAAGAGGCCTGGTTTGAACCCCCAGCCCTGCCGCTTGTAGCTGTGTGACCATAGACAATCTACAAAACCTCTCTGTGCTTCTGTGTCCTCTCTATAAACTGGGGCTGTTGAGAGTTAGTGCTACCAAACTCAAGGGGTTCACCACTTAGGTTATTCTATTCAAGAATGAGACATGGTTGTTGTTAGGCAGTTTCATTTACTTGTAGAAAATAAAGGACATGGGATTCACATTCAAAGCTCTGTCTCCTAGCCATTACTTCTATACACTATTTGGTTAATGACATGTTGAGTTCTTCTTTGCAGTTGGCTATGCTTACCAGGTTGGTTCCCTCAAGCTCATCTGGTTACAGCTGTTCCTGCAAAATATATTTTAACATTCAGCAAGGACAGCATTTAGTAAGAACCACCCACACCTTGAGGCCTTTGTCCTAGCTAACATTAAAATGAGCTTCATCCCCACCCCCACCCCCTGGGGTGGCTCAGCTGGTTGGAGTATCCTCCGGATACAGCAGGGTTGCAGGTTCCATCCCCATCAGAGCACATAGAAAAATCAACCAATCAATGCACAAATAAGTGGAACAACAAATTGATGTTTCTCTCTCTTCTTCTCTCTCTCAAAACAATACATGAAAAAATATGTACACGAACTTATGTACAAAAACAGTCTGGCACCTGGTGAGTCCTGTAACTTTTCTAGTCATGATTACTGTTCTCACAATAGAGGCTCAAGAGAGGTCAAGGCCTGCCTGAGCTCAGAGAGCTGGTACGTGACAGCCTTCTAAGATGTTTCTCCAGGACACCCTGGTTGCATCATAAATTCATCACCTCACTGCAGAGGTTTTTTATGCTATAAATCCCATGATTTCATATACTCTGTCCTACTACAGTTTCTGTAGATTAAATTTACCCTTATCAGACCAAATGAAGTGATTGTGCCATTGGAAGACTAAAAAGGCATTCGGGCGCATCCCCGTTGACAAGTAGCTGACATGTAGTTGACATTCTAGTAAGAGAATAGGAAGAAAAGTAGCCTTAACACAAGGCCTTGTGTGATGGGGAGTGTGAGTTCCTAAAGGGTAGGAAATTCAACCACCATAAAAACATAACCAAATTTGTTTGTTTTGGTAACTCACCATGTACAAAAACACCTGGTAGGTATTTCAGTTTCATTTTACAGAGAAGGAACCTAAGTCTCAACAATGTTAAACACCTGCCGTGGGTCACTTGATGAGTGAGTGACTTGACCTTGGTCCTGTCTTCCTCCAAATCACCGCTTTGAACCAGTCATGACAGAAGGGACTGGGATGAACACAGCGGGGATGAGCTCCATGAGCCGGCTAGAGAAGAGGGGGACTCGGCAGGAGGATACAGGGTGGTGGCCAGACGGGTCTGCGGAACCGGGCGGGGTTCCCGGAGCTCCGCTGGAGCCCCCAGTCCGCACGTGGCCCCACGGCCGCCCCACCGCGGCTCCGGCTTCCGCTCCGGCCGCACCAGAGGCGGCATTCCTGGGAGAGCGCCCCTGATTGGCCGGCTCGGTCAGGTGGTTCCCTCAGGCCAACCAGCGGCGGCCGGGCGGCGGGCCGCGCGCGTCGCGCGGCCGGCTTGGAGCCGGAGGGAAAAGGGGATCGTTGCGCGCTGTGCCCCTGCCGAGAAAAGGCCACAGATACCTAGTAATGTCCGGCGTGCCCCAGATCCAGCTAGCGACCCCACTGACCCTTAGCGCCCATTTATTTGACTTCGCCTCCAGCCGTGCCTCAGGGTTCAGAGAAAGAGGAGCCGGAAAGGTCTGGGCTGGCCCTCCGTGTGGGCTCTGGGTCCCGCCCTAATGCTTCCTCCGTCCTCCGTGCATCTTTTCCCTCTCGCGCTTCTGGCGCTCCAACCCTTCCTGCCTTCTTGCTCCCGGCCGGCAGTCCACAAACGATGTAGTCGCTCCTTGCTTGGAAGAGGAAAACCTCGGGCCGGGCCGGTGTGGCCCCGTTGGGTGGGCGTCGTTCCCTGGTCAGGGCACAGGCCTGGCTTGAGTGTTTGGTCCCGGTGGGGCTGGGAGGAGAGGCAACTGATGGACGTCTCTCTTCCTTTCTTCCTCCCTTCCCCCTCTTTAAAAATAAATAAATAAAATTTAGAAAGGGAAAAGAAAGGAAATTTACTTTAAAAAGAGAGAAAGAGAGAAGTTTCAAGGCCTCTCCAGCCAGGCTCGGCCCTCCTCTCCTCTTCACTTCCTTCCGGCTCCCGTCTTCATCTCCTTCCTCACCCCTCCCCTTTGGCTTCGCTCCCAATGCAAAAGCTGCGTAAGTGAGCTAAACTCGAGAGGAAAAAAAAGCCAAAGTGAACGTCTTCCTTGTCCTGTCCAACATTCCACACCCAGGGCAGACTGATCTGTCAGCTCAGCAGCGGCAGCCCTACCCGCTGATGGCGGCGGGAGAGGGCGCCATGCACTGCGGTCCTCGGACGGGCAGCCAGACTGGGGCAGAGCACAGATCACGGTTCGGATCTCAGCGGGATGAGTTGGAAATATAAACACGCTCCGTCTCACAGAACGGATGCAAAGATTCTCCCCAGGGTTCTTAGACGCACTGGGAAGGCAGTTGTTCTCGGCTCTTCAGGCTGTAGACTCGGAGGAGGAAGAGGACTTTTGTGGTGCCCTATCGCCACCGTGTGACTACCTGGGGAATTACACAGGGGAAGTTCGGCCTTGGGAGGGCTGCCGGGACTCGGGCGTTCTCTGAAGACTGGGAATGTGTTGCCATTGCCCGCTTCGCATCTGCTGCCCAGGCTCCCTCGGGCCTCCAAGGCCAGGGCCAGCACTCGTGGAGGAGAAAGTATCCCACTCCTGGTTTAGGGCAGTAGTTGTGCCTTCCCTGACTCCAGAACCTTTGGTTTTGGTGGCTCTTCAGTGTAGCATTCAAGGCCCTTCGGAGCTGGAACTCAAGGTGACTTAGCTCTGCCGTGCCCCAAGAGGCCATTTCCGTTTTCTCCTCCCTTCCCAGCCCCCCTGGATCTCCCTTTGTCCTCCCCCTGATTCAGGAGTCTGAAGTACATTTCCCCAGTGAGCATGTAAGGTCCTGGGACAGTATTCATATGAAGAGCAACCATTTATTGAGCACCTACTGGGTGCCTGTTACTGCACTGGGCTCCTTATGGGCATTTATTCTGTATACTCTTTACAAACCCCATAGAGCATATGATTGTTCTCATTTTGTAGAAGAATACACTGAGGCAGTGAAAGGTAACATGACCCATCCAAAGTCCCATAGCCATCAAGAGACAGCCCCGCCTGTAACTGCGAAACCACCTCGTATGGTGGGTGATGCAGAGAGACCAAGGGTCACATCCTGTCTCTGCCACTCACTACTGACTTCAAAGTATTGAACCCTAGCATTCTGCCCTCCCTAAAATGAGGTGGCAGCTCCCACCAGGCCCAGGTGCTGGTCCCGAGGGGCAGGTGGCATCTGGTGACCAATACCAGGGGGTAAGAAGTGGGGAGCCGCCAGCCAGAGTGTGTCAGCCAGCAGCCAGTGTGGCGCACACTGTAGTAAGTTAGAGTCCCCTTAGGACCCAGCCAGCAAGAAGTAGGGCTCAGGGGTCCCAGCCCCCACACCTGTCACCTATGTAACCCTTGTCTGTTCTTCCCATGCCCACCCCGGGCTCCTCAGTGCCTGTCTCACCTGGCAACCTCGTAGGGCCTTTCCTAACACACATCTAGTCACGTCCTGTGCTGCAGAAAATTTTGTCACTCACTGGGTACTCGACCCCTTCCTTGTGAGTGCCCATGAGCCGTGTGGGGCTGTCGCTGCGGTCCTGACAGTTCTGTCAACCTCTCTGGTCTCTGGTCCCCTCCCATCTCCTTGAAGGCACCTCAGGCCTTTGCACATGCTGTTCCTGTGGCCCAAAAGGCTCCTCTCTCCTTTCTTTGCTTAGTTAATGCGGAGATGCTGGAAGATCTCCTCCTGGTGGGATGGGCAGTTTGAGACCCTAAAGAGGCGCAGGACTTTGGGAAACCAACAGGGAGTGGGAGAGTGTTCCGGGAAGACGCGACAGCCTGCGTGAAGGGATGGGAGTGCACGCGCGGGCGGGAGAGGGAGGTGCAGGAGGGGACTGAAGCTAATGAGAATGAGGCGTGTCTAAGGCTAGCGCCAAATCCTTGCGAGCTGGGGGCCTTGCGAGGGTTTTGAGCAGGGGTAATTACAGCAGTTTTGCCCGTCATCTATGCCACCGGGTAGGGTGGAGGAGGGCTTGTCAGCATCACTGAACAGTCTTCCAGGGGTGACTCCATCACCACCAGCAGGGGAAGGCATCTCTTCACAGGGTCCCCACCTAAAGCCTCTATGGTACAGCCCAAGGCCCTCCACCACCCCCTCACACCAGGCTGAAATGAGATGCTGCACTCCTTGTAGCTGCCACAAGGTGGCACCATCTCCCCAGTCTGTCCCCTCCGTTCTGCTCCCGGTGCTGGAGACCTTTCCCAGGGAAGAGACCGGAGAGGAAAGAAGAGAGAGAGGAAAGAAGGGGAGGAGGCCCAGGGACAGGGGTTGGGGGTGGTTTGGATGCAGGTGCAAGGACAGGGGAGTTAGGGTGGTGTGGTTTTGTTGTTTTTCGCCGCAAAAAGCTTTATTGTTTCTATTTGGTCGAATGCATGGGAGAGGACTCCAGACGTTTAAAAGGATGCTTAATGCCTAATGGTTTCAGGGAGAGGCTCAGGCAAAAGCCAGGCACCAGGGAAATGCAGAGGGGCCCCTCAAAGGCCTCTGGGCTCCAAAGGCTCCTAGTCATGCTTGAGGGGGAGCCTTTCGAAGAAACACCCCCCCGCCCCTGGCCCCACCACCCCAGCCTGGGGGCTCGCCAGCCTGTGGGTGTTCGTCAGGTGGTCGCCCATCTCCTTGATGAGTTTCACCAACTCCTCATCCAGGAGGCGGTTCTCCAGGAAGTCACAGATGAGGGTCTGTGCGGGCAGAACCCAGGGCACGCAGGTCCAGAAGGGCCTGGTTCAGATTCTTCTCCAAGGCCAAGGTGGCTTCCATGGCGTCCTGAGTTACCCCACTCATCTTGGGACGGCTTCAGGGCATCCTGGAAGAGGGTGCGGCCACCCCGCTGGTCTTGCAGCTTTAAGAGACCGTCAGCACCTTCGCGCTTCTTCTCCACCGACTCTCAGGAGGTGGCCCACGCCCTGCAGGGCCACATCATTGTGGTTGAAACTGAAGCCCAGAGGGAGGGAGGTGTGGGAGGCCTGCAGATGCAGGGTGACCAGGGGGTGGATGGGGCTTCCACCTCAGGGAATAACCGATCAATTTGGGAGCTCGTGGTTGTTTGGCAATGAGAGTTAAAGGTCAAAAAATGGTGCTGGCTGCTCTCAGAGGCTGAGGGTGGCTGAGGTGGTTCCAAAGGTGGTGACTGGAAAAGAGGTTGGAGGGTGGTTGGAGGCTGGAAGAAGGGACATCCCTGGATCCGTTACGCCCAAATCCTGTTGAAGCAAGAGACAGACCCCAGGACCATCGAGGGTGCTCCGGTTGTTTGTTTTTTTTTTCAGGGTCAAGCAGAGCACATCTGTCTGACTTGAATTTTCACCATTATCTGCTCTGCCTACCTCCACACACCATTCCTCTCTCTTGTCCCTGGAACACTCATGTGGGCTTCCCTGGTCACCCAAGTCTTGGCCCTTTCTCACCTGCAAGGTCTTGACCACCTTGCTCTCCCTCCGACCTCCACTACACGAGTGCTGTCCCAGTCCCGGCTGTGTCTAACCAGATGCCGCACCAGCGCCTGTACCTGCCTCCCCACATCTGCACTAGCAGCCTCTGCTCGCTGGTCTCTTCACTCCCCTGGGGGTGAAATTCTGCAGCCAGTGAGGCTCACGTGGCTTTGCCTAGCACCGTGGTCTCCCGCACGCTGTGTGCGCACTGTCCACGCAGCCAGGTGGGAGTCCCTCAGATCCTCCCGACTGCTGCCTGCCTCCAGACATCCGCAGAGTCCGTTCCCCCTACTTGGAATGATTATCCTCCCGCTCATCCCAAGGCCAACTGCTCCCCTCCTTCAACTCATCTATCACTTCCTCATGGAACCTTCGCTGAGCCAGGGTGGGACCTCCCCATGGCAAGCACTCACGGGTGCAGCCAGCTGGCCTTCAGAGCCCGTGTTTGATGCTGGTCAGCACCTCCCTGGGCATTTGTTTTATGTCTCTCTTCACCTCTAGGTTTTAGACTCCTCAGGGCGGGACCTGTCTTCTTCACAGGGTAAGGCAGTGACTAGATGGCACCTGGCCTACGGTAGGCGCTCAATAAATATTTGTTGATTTACTGTGCTCTGGCACCCAACTCTCACTCTCTCTCTCTCTCTTTCTCTCTCTCTCTCTCTCTCACACACACACACACACACACACACACACCTTATTCTCTCTGTTCAGTT